TGCATGTCGGACACATTACGAACTTCACCGATAGAATTCAGTCTGCACCAAATATAGGACTAGACATATAACACTAGTTACTGACTAGTATCCAATCAAAGTATGACATTAATTAATTTTAACAGTGCTCGTGTAATGTAGAATGCACTTACTAAAAGTAGTTATGCTTCTCCATACTTCTAGTGGTTTCAGCAAACTCTTTAGAAATAAAAATCCAGTTATTTGTCTCTCAAAAAGTGTCAAGACATTCTTCTGCCGGTTCGCATAAACTTAAAACTATGTACTACTGACTGATAAGGATGAGTAAATGCATACCACTCATATCAACCGGTAGTGCTTGCTGCCAGGCCAGTCTGAGGTGAACTAAACACGGGGCAGCCATGTAGCTGGTTTGAGGCTGAGCTTATCAGTGCAGTGTACCCAGTTCGACTCAGCTCAGAGTTCCGAATCAATTTATAAAACGCAATTTCTGACTAGCAGCTTCGTCGAACTGGTTGTGCCGTAAATCACATTCGTAACCTGCAAACTGGTTAGTAATTTGCAGTCTACACAGTTCGGGTGGTGAGATTTCACCGTCCAGTATTTACATAACTTCGATCTGACTAGCAAGTACTTTTGGTTGATATGAGTGGTATTCAACTACTCATCTCACTCAATTAGTAGTATATAGTTTTATGCAAATATGTTTGCTTTCTTGTTTACCATTTATGGTTTTCAAGGGAAACTACGATGAAATTTCACCACTCAGACTGTGAAGAGTGTAAATTGCTAGCCAGTTTGGAAATTGTGAACTTGATTCGCATAGGCTTCCTATTGTTAGGGCTGAAAAATCCCTACTTGACTGGATTCCAGTGGGCAGTCATGTGTGTACTATCTGCATGAAGAAATGTATGAGAAGAAAGAAATACTACGATATCAGTCGATATCTTTTCAAAGTTTCTACTTACGTCTCAACCGAATTCAGCTCAGATGAAGTAAGGAATGAGTTCTATCGAAAACTGCTAGTTTGCTGCTATAATTAAAACGCAACGATTTAGTCGCTAAACAGGCGATTTCAATGCTCAGTTAGGGGAGGTACTGTAGCCATAAAAGTATATTAGTAGCACCTATGGAGTTCATCACCGACGAATCAGTAACCGTGAATTTCTTCGATGATTCCGTTGAGATAATTATGTGTCCCGCGTCAACATCAACTTTAAACATAAGGAGAGACTTGGTAAATTGGTAACCTCCATCACCAGATTAACGGTAGACTTAAATAGGTCATACAGTTACAATCTATTGATCGACGTGGTTGATGGAAAACTGTCACACTTTTAACACCCGTGTTGACTCTTATCACGCACCAGTAAGTGCACGGATATGCATATTACTGAACGGACATAAGAAAATGACAACTATGAAGCTGATACTGCCCCAACTTGATTGGAACGCAAAGTCCATTTGCAGGGAAATTCAGTTAAGCGTGTGTCTGAGATTCGCAGAAAGACTTATCCTAAGGAAGCTTGGCATGCCACCTAGTCAAAAGTAGAAACAGCGGTTAGTTAGTTGATAAGCTGAAAGGAAGGGTTAGTAAGTTCCAGTGGATTTCCTCTACATCGTCCGAGCAGATAGACGCATGAAGACTGGTTTCGGGGGGCTCCGAACATGACAAGGAGTGGTAGCAGATCAAACGCAAGCTGACTAAAAGTCTCTGCAAAGACCGTGAGTAGTAGTGGACAACAGAAGCCAAAGAGGTGGGAAACAGATAGGCGGTAGGTGACATCCGGCGATTGTTTATACTAATTAGGGGAAGAGGTTGTAAGAAACCAACGGTAAAGCTGCTTTATTTACTTCCCAGATATTTTGAGACACAATTCGACTTAACCAAGGCAACGTTGAATTTCCCCAGTCTTCAGAAGTGTATACGGATGATAGGGGTGAACTACTGACTGGCAAATTGTCAGAATCTGAGATAGTCCCGATGAACTGGTGTAGATTACTGATTACCTCAACATCTGAAAAGCGAGACAAATTTTCCTGTGAAAGATTGGTTTGACTAACATGTTGTCTAAAATTCTAAAATAAACACTCATGTGTAGATTGAGCAGTGCTCTGTAGAAATAAACATTGGAAATCTAGGTAGGCTTTAGGCCAAGACGAGCATGTATTCGAGATATCTTCGCATGTCGACAGATTCTAGAACATAGACATACTTACCGGCGTAAAACAACGGCTATATTTCATGAACTGACAGCGGAATACAACTCCATCCATCGAGAGGGGACTAGGTAATGTCCGGTTGTGAAGGAAGTCTTGAGAAACCATATCACATTAATACAGGCACCCATTGTAAAAGAGCTTAGGCATATGTGTAACAGCTGATGAAGAGTTGTCACCTGAAATGATGACAAACAGTACTGTCCCCCAGGGATCATCGGTGTAAACCTCATTGACTTGAGTGACTTAGGGATTGACCTGTTATCAAGGTAACGACTTGTCAACTTAGAGTATGTAGATGATACAGTAATTCGAAGTGAAGACCCTGAAAAAGTGCTCAGACTTCTCCACACCTTCGAAACAAATCTTAATACTTTTAGCATTCTAATCACCACTATCAAACGTAAGATGATGCTGCAAGACTGACGTGCACTGTTTTCAAGGTAACAAGAAATAGGTAGTAAACAATGTTGATTGGGCAACCATCCGACCTATTTGGGAATATACATCAGCCTTGATCAGCTGACTAACTCTTAACGAAATCTCAGCACGGATATAAAAGGCTCCTGTATCATTCGTCGACCCAACATGATATCCAGCTATCCATCAAAGTTTCGTCTGTCCTCCTTTATGTCTGTGAGATGCAGTTTTTGAAAGTAGAGGACTTCAAGACTCTGGCTTTCTCTGACCATAGATTTATGAGTTTTGTCTCCCTTGTAGAGCGATTTAATGTGGCGAGTAATATTGATGTTAGGCATAAGGCGTTAATCAGGGAGGGAAAGGTGATCGACGAGCTTATGAGTCTACACCTGTTAAAATATGTAGGATACATGTTGAAAGTTATCGCCTTGTTCGCTCAGGAATGTTAGCCGACATAGAACGAGGTAGGTAAAGAGTTAGAGACGGTCATATCGAGTCATTTCACCAGTCCATCAATTCGCTAACAGTTGGTTTGAGGCAGCCATATAATAAGGAGATGTTAACTGCCTGAATGTCTGGTTGTGATGCTCAAAGCATTAGAAACCAATAGCTGGAAACTTTTGTTCAAAATGTCTGTAAATCGTTCTCGATTGTGCGGTTGCACTCACTTTTTGTAACTTCCCAATTCCATTAGGTGGTCAATCGTTTTCATGCTACCATTCTCCCTTCAATTTATTAAAATTCTCTTGAAGTTTCTCTTGACATTTGTATGGTATATAGAGTGTGGAAACTTGAAGTTTTACACTTTTGTTCTACTTGTAAAACTCAGTCAGTCAGTTAACACAGAGGTTGACCGAAAGCATCTACAGTTGATAATTTGCGGAACACAGGTTGCTTGATGCGTTGAAATAGTTTATACACTTCCTTTTGCTGTCAGAACATCAGCTGCCTTCAATCTTTCCCTTCTGCCTGAAGCGTAGAATTTAGGTATTATGGTGCAGTATAACCCCATCATCGAATAAATTTATTTGACCATAACCAACAGTGGTACTTAGAAGACAAAAGGATTCAGCGAAGAAATATTTACTTTTCAATTAGATCCTCATCTCTGGCTCTACTCTAATACATATCGGATTTTTATTACAATACACAACATTTTACTTATCAAGTGGCCATATGTTCATTAACAAAAATTCATATCAGCATGTCAGGGAGAATGATAATTAACCAAGAAAATTAATACAAACAATTGAAGGGTAGAAATTATTGTGAAAATTAAACAAGTGGAGTACATAAGGCATAATTCTCGAAAAAATAAAGTGTAATTAAGGGAAAAACGAGTGCTCAAGTTGGTCACATAATAAGCAATTAAACAAGAAGTCAGACATATAAAATAATTTGGACAATGATAATTTGCAAAAGGTTTAGGGGAAGGCTGATACTATCAGGTTTTCACGTTCATGTAACTATGGCCAAACCTCGCCTAGTTAACTAGCTTTCTAGTTTCCTAGCCGGTTCCAAGCCCCGGTAAATAGGGAGGGTTGTGCGTTGGGCTAACAAAGCTACACCACTAAACCTATCATACTGCTAGAGAAACTTCAAAGTACACAAAATACATTAAAATACGAAAACTCAAATAACAATCTTATTCTTCGATGGTATCGGAGAGACGAAATGACATAACAGGCTCGTGAAAGCCAGCCGGTGCATCTTCTCTCGATGAAATCAAGAATGACAATGCGGATGTGGAATGTCCGTACAATGTACGAGACTGGCTGGGAAGGCTGCCCAGGTAGACATAGAAATGCGAAGATATGGCATAGAAGTGTTGGATATATGCGAGAGCAGATAGAATGGATGTAGACTGTCAAAATCGTCAACTGGAGAGTCAGTGATTCACTCCAGTCTGGTCATCCAGACAACAACCACGAAAAAACTGAGTCAGTGAGTGGCTATCATAATGTCCAAAACTTTCGGATCACGTAACGAAATAAGTGAAAATGGCTCCTATTCGTCAGTTATAGGTGTGAGTTTTGATCTTTATCTTCTTGGGCTTTCCTACAATAAGACAGATTTATTAGTTTACTTGGCGAAACACAATAATAGCGTTATTTATTTCCTGATAATATTTCAAACTATACTCCTGCACTATATTCTTTTCAAAAGAAGTGAGCCCTACCCGGATTTGGTTTGCTGAGAAGCTTTTCCACCGGGTTCCGAATGTAATTGAAAAGGAGAAACCTGTGACAGTCCAATTACTGACTGGTTCACATATCAGTTGCATATGTTATTTCCCCAACTTTGCTACCACGTCTTCATTTTATGTTATTATCCTGGAAACTAAACTTATCATCACGTTTATAATCTACTGCAAAATTGATATGGAGGTGAGCTTCACTTAGCTTTTCAAATATTTTGGATACACGGTTTGTATTTCCGCACGTAACATACATGCAGTAACGTACAGTCTTCTATTTATGGTTTCAGTAATGTTTCTACACTGTGAGGAAGGGTAACAGAAGTAGCTCAGTGTCAAAGCCATAGCCATTCCATTAGCTTACCAGTACATGTTGGTTGTTGAAAAGCAGTAGTTGTCTCAACTTATTTTCAGTAAGAGCAAGTAATCCCTGTTGGCGTATAGTTTGAACGTCGCATTCACGAGTGCGCTTATGAATATTAGATAGAAATCGTATGATACTAAGAGTATTCATGCTATGCAGTTCTAAAAATGTTCCGAGAGACTATGAACTGCCAAATTTCTTCATATGAGTCCCGTCTTTTGTGACAACTATCAAAGTAGCTTGTTAAATGATAAAGCATCAGTAAAATAATGGATATCTAGGACACATCTGATTTGTAAAGTTAGGTTGGACTATCCATAGGTAGTTCCATATTAATTTGTTCATTAGATATGTCACATACTTGAGCATTTACTGGGTGACGTTTCGAACACAATTTATTGTCCATGATATCAATTATTATATGATATATCTAGTAGGCGAATTAATATGGAATTACTTGTATCCACATGTGCAGTTTCGAGATCGAATCGACTGTATTCTTGTGTTCATTTGAATAACAGTCGCGTTTTAAACATGACAGTTAATTATCAGGAATAAACTTTCTGTCTGGACGTTAACTCTATGTTTGGTAGAAAATTTTGTCTGTGATGTTGAAATACTTTCTTTACTGTTGTGGATTTTCTGAGATAACTACCATAATATTTAGCAGTCTACAGGTGTAAATCATGAAATGAAGTTAATGCAGTTTATTTGATAGATTATAAATTGGACTATCAAAGCTGGTCAGCTGATATCCTGAAGTTCGGATGTCTGTGCAATGACTCTACACACGATTTGGCTATGCAACATCAGAGGTATTCTGGTGTAAAGAATGAGTTTTGAAAACAACCTGTTAACAGGTAGTGACCACAGAGTTTATTTTAGTCTGCTCTCTCGCTGTTTTACAGCATAGGTTTACTGCTTCATGTGATTGGAAATGGTGTCTTTTCGTGTTAAATCCATTTCGGTAAGGACGGGTGCAAAAGTGATATGATATTTAGACCAAATCGTTGATACAGTGATTGGATAAGTTAATAAGAATTTGTAAAATATGATTGGTAATCACTCAGTTAAATTAAAATCGCTTTAGTGTGAACCAAAAATGTTGATATGAAAGACGAAAGCGTCATGTAAAAGAAAATAGGTGAAACCCGAAACACTGGTCACTCAAAACGTGTTATTAGTGGTTCTTTAGAAGCACCTAGTGTTTGGAATGAATCAGACTGTTTTAGCTATACAGCATTCCCGTGATGAGTAGTGGTTAGAAACATTAGTAATTCAGAAGCACTATTTCCTTAATCTACAATTTCTTTTCCCTTTCAGACGGATGAACCAGAGGTCATAGCATTTCTCCTGGGGTCGGAAATTATACCTCTTTGTCTGGTAATCATGGAGTCAGGAAGTGAACTGAGTAGAACTGTGAGTTTTGCGTCTTCCAGTCAATCATGTGTTGAAGTGCATTTAGGAAAATCATTAATATATCAGTGTAGCAATTCAGACTAGACTTTACAATTCGAATGCAAGAAATTGGACATCTTCTGTTAGTGTTTCACTGTTGTTTATGCAAAATACTGTTGTATCCTGGAAATTTCCCCACAGTTCTGTGAATATCATTTAAACAGTAGATGAAATGACATTTGTCGTTTGCAGTTCTGATTTATTATACAAGAGTGATGTGATTCAAAATCCAATTAGGATAGAGTTAACTGTTGATCACATGATTTGGTTGCCTAGGTATTTGTTTTACAAAGTACTTATTTTGTTAGAAATCTAAAAACGTGAAGTTCACATTAGACGACATCATTATGTATGTGACTATTTCACATTGGTTATACCACCTGCAAACTCCACGTCACTAATTCATTCCTCCATATCCTTGTAAACAATCTAGGTGGCGACCTTCATTATGCAGAAGCTTCTTTTGGATGAAGTCGGCCTGGCGTACATCTGTCAAACTTATGAGCGTTTCGCTCACGTAGCTACTGTTTTGGAAAAAATTGTGATCGACTTGGCTAGAGAGCAGTCATTACGCCTTTTGAAACACGTGATTCGGTGCTACCTACGTCTTTCAGATGATTCGCGGTAAGTGTTTTCGGCCTAACAAGCAGGGTTATGCTTACATTGAAAAATGTCGTGTTATCATTTAAAGTACAGCATCACTATACGTTTCTTGTACCCGTTTTCTGCATAATATTGTTAGGACGGACAACATAATGTCAGCGATAAAGTCATGGTTGAAACAATCAATGAGATATTTGATTGGTTGCAGGATTTCGTCATGCACTGACATTGGTTAGAGAAGCATTGGAACACCTGGGAGTACTAGACAGCTGTTTCGTCCTAGTTTGGGACTCTTCACAGTACATCCCCGCCGCCAGGGTTCGAACCCAGGAGCTTCTGGTTACAAGGCAAGCTCGTAGACCAAGTATTGTGAATAACAAACCTGTTGTGGTTGTTGTTTTTGCCGCAGTTGTCTCAATTGAATCTGACTTCTGTGTGTCTACTCAGTGTGGCGGACATTTTCCTAGTGATCAGTTGTCTGGAGACGCAATGTAGTCAGAATGGGTAACAACCAACAAATCAGTAACACTCCGTTATAACAAAAATAACAGAAGTAATAAACTTCGCGAAATAATTGGTAATAATGGCGCAGAAAAATTACTAGTATCCTACTGGGAGCAGAATGTTATTGTTATTCATATCACATAGAAAACAACTTCTATAGTACGTTTTAGTAGCCACTTATCTCTTACTTTCAAATTTGATACAGCTCAGCAATCTTTCGAGAGTTTTTGTCTCAAAACCAAATGTTGATAAGACAGACCAGATAAATATTATGTGTCTTACAGATAACTATCACTTTAAACTGTTAAGTAGTGACTTAGACGTTATCGATGTCTAAATATGATAATTTTTACCTCCGATTTTTATTTCAGAGCGCGTGATGCTCTTCGAACATGTTTGCCACAACAGCTCATAGATGGCACGTTCAGTGGTTTGCTGGAGAATGATGTGGCTACTAGACGATGGCTTACACAGTTGATTGGTCGGCTGTCTGCTGCAACAGTTGCATCTGAAGGTACTGCCAGTACAACGCTTTCTAGTGTTGGTTCCATGGAAGCTACTACACTACAGGCCGTTACTGGTAATCTCGCCAGCCTTCCATCAACTACAACGGTTGGTTCCTCTGTGACTACTGCTGCATCTAGTGTTGAGATTTGTGGAACGTCTGTTTCAAGTGGAGTCACAAGTGCTTCTGTGAATGGGTCAGGAGCACTTGTATCTTCGTCATGTACACAGGGTGTGGACTCTGTGACATCTACGAGCAGTTGATGAACTTACGTATAACCCTGGGAATGATGTTATACGTAATGTGTATATATGATTTCTATTTCTATTGTAATTGATTTACTTTTACTCGCTAGTGCTTGACATGCCTATTATCTAGTATTTTTGATGATAAGTTTTCCACTTTATTCCTAACGTGATTGTAATTTTGCATTATCTCTGTATGGATCCTTATTCTGATAAATTTACTAATGTCCATGTGTTTTATGCTACTAGACACATATATGTCCAGACCAAGTTTACTTTTAACAGTTTGGAAAAAAGTTGGGCATTGGGTATATGATGTTAACTGAAGACGACTGCAAAAGCTTCTTATTCGTTTCATATAACATATGCATTTGGCAATTTTGAATGTGTAAATTGAACAAGGTGTTTAGTAGTAGCAGGCGGATTAGCTATTGAATTGAGTCTCCACGTTGTTCGGCGAACTTTTCGTGAAGTCTGTGCATCTTTGTTTGATTTCGTTAGTTCCAGCAGTTCTAAGTTTGATTGGTGTTGGAAGGACTCCATGAGACTTATTTTGTTTTCATTCAGTTTCCCCACAGTGGAGCACTGGAGTATATATGTAAGCTTAATATTTAAACAAAATAAGTCAAAATATTCGTTTTTCAATATTAACTCTTCAGTCGGAATAATTACAGCTCAGTTGTGTGTTTCTGTGCTTCGAATGAGAAGTGTCAGTATCATAAGAAGACTTCATCAGAGAAGCTTCCTTTAACAAGCAGGACCAACAAGTGTAACAGGATAATGAGCTTATTTTTATTATTCCATGGGTTCTTTTCAACTGCCTATAAGCTTAACAAAACGAAAATTTAAGTTTTAAAAATGGTTAAACACTGCTTTTTCGTGTTGGCCATGAGTTATTGATAAAAAGTCTAAGTAACATGAGTCCGGAATGATGTTAGTAGTTAATTGTTAGGCGTTAGTTAAGAGTGATAACTATTTATGGTATAATTAGACAAATGTTCTTGGAGAAAGGACCAGGGTTCAATACTTTGGATAGAAACAAAGTCTAACTAGAAAGGTTATATTAGTTAGTGAAATAGGTTACGTGACTGCGAGAATTGTTTATACAATAATAAAAAGGAGTTGTATGTGAGTGGCCTACAGATGAAAAGTCGAAATATACAAAGGTATATTCGTCGTAAAGAATTCTGCAATTGACTGTATCCGAATCGCAGTTGTTTTGGTCTAATAAGCTATAAAAGAGGTTTGGTGTGGAAATTGTTCTACCTCGGTGAAAATCTTTGAAAGAAGTAGAGATACGAATTCGCCATTATTGAAAAGTGCTTACTGGAAAGTAGATATTTTCCGAAGCTTAGGTGCGATCGTCCACCGGTTAATTGATAGCAATCATGAAATTGATGTGTTGAAATCACTTGAGATAAATAAAGTTCAGGGGAGATTGAATTCGTATGGATTAAGATAAAAGCTGTTATTAGTCTTACATTGCGATGGCTGACTGACTGACTGGTTTCAACATAGAACTTTGCACCGATGTGCAGCAGTTCAATTCGCCACACTCCATGTAGCACACAAAGGAAGAGAAGAAAGTAGAAGAAATGCAAAATAGAGACAGTAAATCGAGATGATATGAGGTACTCTTATCTGCCTTCCATCAACTACAACGGTTGGTTCTTCTGTGGAACGTCTGTTTCAAGTGGAGTCACAAGTGCTTCTGTGAATGGGTCAGGCGCACCTCTATCTATATCATATACACAGACTGTGGACTCAGTGACATCTTCCCGTCCGTCAAAATCTAGGTGGTTTAGAGGCCGAATTTTCTATCGAAATCACTATTCAGACTGCACACCGACAGACTGTAACATTGTAGGAGGCTAGTGGCGCTTTCGAAACAATTTTCGAGAGCAGGCTGCAGCACAAATGGAGAGGGAGAAACTTAGTCAAAAATACGGAAGTGAATTGATTATTCAATAGATGCGGAAAGACATACAAATCATGAAGATGATATAGACACCACCTGGATTCCGGCTCCAATCAAGTGCTAGTAGCATGCTGTGTTTTGGAGGCCCTATATCAGCCTCTCCCTACAAACTACTACTCTAATATCGACAGTCCGACTGGCCTATCTTCCAGAACTGTGTCTTATGTTTTCCGTCGAGTGCCTACAGGTGCTACGACGTCATGTGACAAAACGTTACGCTGAATTTCCCCAGCAAGAAAATGCCGAATATACGTGGTACATCAACATCCCTAATTAATTTTCACCCATCTTTCAAAACTTAGATATCTTGTTACTAACACCTGTTAGATATTTCTTTTGATGACCTTTAGCTTCTTGATTTCACCCCCGCATATACTTAAACCTGGTTAACTAAAATAACCACTTGATTGGTAAAAGCTTTTGATGTAAAACACTATATATTAGTGTAGAGCCGATGATGAGGAACTAATTGAAAAGGAATATATTTCTCCGCTCAATCTGTTGTTTTCTCTAGATGCGTAAATGGGAATTTGGAAATTACTGAAGTCTACTGAGAACCGTCTTGCGTTGAAGATCCTCAATGAGTATCTGAAGTATAGCGCAAGGCTCAGTGAAGCGAAGAAGTCTATAGATTTTATTCATGAATGTATCGCAACAGTCCGCTACCCGAAAGCTTACTGGAAATCGTTACGTCGTTCTCGAGTACGTCCAAACGCAGGAACACTTAAGCCTCATGCTCTTAATCAGATTGACTTTTTGAATTGATGTGTTACTGAGTTGACAAAGAATATTGCAGAGAGGTTCTACGCCGTAGAAGAACTTCCGGACGACTTGAAACAGCCGTTCTTGCAGTATGTGGACGATGTCGTTAACAGAAGAAGAGAAAAGAAATGATCCCAGCTTATTCTAGGCCTCAACAATGAGACACCAGAAGCACGTTTTCCACCCAATCCAGAAAGGCATGTCCACAACTTTTCTAGTGTGGTCCTTGATATGACGGATTTAGAAGTCTTATCTCTCGGTCTTAAATTTTGTGATAGTAATATAAAAGTCAATAAAATGGACATACAAGTTCAATTTGAAAACCTTTATGCTCAGACTGAAGACTTAACGCCTTCATCAGATGAGGAGGTTAACAGATCCAAGGCAACTTTGGTTGATTGTTGTTACAAATACATGAATAGTAGAGGTAATACAACGGGTATTTTAACCGAAAGGCATCAAGAGGCTTTAAGGAAATTGAAAGCTATTGAGAATGTAGTGTCCTCCAGACCCGACAATGTCTCAGGAGTCGTTATCATGGATAAGTCTGATTACCTTAGCAAAATGGACACTTTATTAAGTGATGCATGCAAATTTCAGAAACTAACAATTTCAGAAACAACACAATGGAGAGGACTGAGAGACAGTTGACATAGTCTTTAAAATAGTTGGGACAACAAGGCCATATTTCACCTGCCTTGTATGAAATACTAAGACCTGTAGGCATGGTGATACGCAGGTTGTACGACTTACCGAAGATTCACAAAAGTGGCTTGCCACTTAGACCAGTCCTCGATATGTCTAGCTCACCATACCATTCAACTGAGAAATGGCTAATGGAACTTTTAAAGCCGTTGCATAAGAAACTTGTGAAAAATAGCGTAAAAGATAGTTCTGAGTTTGTAGAAGGAATCAAGGAATTGAATGTGAAGGACAAATATCTGATATCCACTGGATGCATCTTCCTTATTCACCAATGTGCCTTTGATGGAAACAATTGATTACATAGGTAGTGAATTGATGAAGCAAGGCATAGAGATCGGAATTCCTGTGTCTTCCCTAAAGGAACTTCTACTAAGGTGTACAATGAACGTAAGTTCCCTGTTCAATAAAGAAATCTATAGACAGTCAGATGATGTTGACATGGGATCACCACTAGGCCCAATCCTAGGAGAATTTTCCCTGGCGAAACTAGAGAATGGTCCACTTAAAGATGTAATATATAATCTTGATTTCTATTGTCGATATGTTGATGATACGTTTATAGTTGTTAAGAAAGAAAGTGAGGCTAAGGACATATTGGATAGATTCAGTAGAGCACATCCCAGCATAAGCTTCACTAAGGTAGAAGAAGAAGAAGGAAATGACTCTATCCCCTTTTCGGACGTCCCGATGACTAAACGAACAGACGAAACAATATGTAGACGTTGGTTTAGGAAACCTACTCCCACTGGACAACATACTCACTTCCTGAGCTTCGTACCTCTACAATTCAAAGGTGATCTGGTTAGACGTCTGCTTCAGCGGGCTAGAACTATCTGTTCGAATGAGACGCTGACCGAAGAACTCGTTAACATTTGCGATCTGCTGAGCAGAAACGAATATCCAACTAAATTCATGAAAAAACACATGAACTCAGAAAGTAAAAAGTCGAAGTTGCCGACTGTCTCGACAAAGTCAGTCTTCCTAAGGTTATAATTCACGGGTGATGTCAATAGTGAGATCTTATCACAACGTCTGAGAAGTGTCTTCAGAAAGCAGCCAAGCTTCGTTCAAGTAACAAAGACAGACTACCCTGGTTGGCCCCTTCCATGTGTATTTACTAGCTTAACTGCGCGTGCGGAGCTAGTTATATGGGGCGTACGATCAGGCAAGTCCATCATCGAAATTCCGAACACTTCCCAACTGGGTTTGGCAAAGCTCCGAATAAAGCTATGTGCAACTAACTACAAGTTCATCTCGTCGATTATTATTATTCCCTTGTCATCTCGTCGATACTGGACATCAAATTGACTCTAACAAAGATTTTAAAGTTATTTAACGTATATCACCCAAACGATCGCACCTTTCGTTTGGAAGTGTCTTGGAATGTGCTCAGACATGTGTTCACAAATTCCTCTTCTTCGTCCGATGTATGTGTTTTGCACGTCCATGTACATTGGTTTGTGTAGTTAGACGTAAGATGACTTGTCAACTATAGATTCTCGGTGAGCAATTTATTCGGTAAGTTGTGACTAACCTGGAAACTGAATAAGTCCATCTGAGAGCAGCATTTATTCGATATTTAATTACTCCATTACCTTGGAATCGAAGCTTTAGGAAGACCGGTTTCTTCTCAACTGTATCAAATTCTCCTTAATATGTGGAA